GTATAATGATCATTGGATCCAATCATGCCAGATTATGAAGAAGTTTAAAATGTAGCGGTTATCCCGACTAAAACATTAAAAGAACCAGTCTCATATAGTTTGCACAAAGATATAATTTCTCCATAGTAATTCTGAAAAATAATACTAATTTAAGAAGTCGATATTGCTTCTACATGTTTAATATTGCAATTCGATATGCAATATTCGAACCAGTGATGTTTGGGCTGCAATTTTAGGGTTATCATATATTTATAAAATAGATAGAAATTTAAATTAAGTATTAAACTACAACTAAAATAATCAAAGTATTAAAACACCAAATAAGTACTTACGGGAGATTCAGTGGCCAACTAATCGTTAAAAAAGTCATATGATTTTCATAATTTAGGTTCGTGTATGTTTGAATTTAAATAGATACAACAAATATACTTGGTGTGATTGGTTATGGTCCTTGCTTGCCTTTAAAGAGACCAAGGTTCAAATCCCAGTGCATGCCTTTTTTATGAATAAATAAATAAGAAAATAAGTAATTGTGAAGACCAAAATGTCCTTCCTATAATCACTCTCGTTGCAGGAAATTTGAAATGGAGCAACAGTTTTCATCATTCGGCTTTTATTTATTATCTAGATTCTACTACAATATTATTGTGATAGTGATTAGGCAGGATGCCTCGATACACATAGATCTACTACTAGATTTAGTGTCATGATAGGTAATTCCTTAATTTTTCGGCATTCTAAGAACATAAGAATGTTTCTAGGACTTCAGCCGAGGCTAAATACAAATCCATGACCAGTCTATTTTGTGGCTTTGTTATGGTTTGCATGATTTAAAGATTGAGCTTACTGCACATACACCTATGTTTTGTCTCTTTCAAGTTTAGCAGATACTCACATTAATCATGACTACAAGAAACAAATCGAAATAGATTGTCATGTGATTCGTGACAAAATTTTGAATGAGACTATTAAAGTTCTTCATGTTTCCTCCGCAAACCAATTAGCTGATACGTTTACCAAGTTGTTGCCAGTGTCCGTTTTCCTAAATTTGCATGTCAAATTGAGACATCTTGACATAAATGCGTCAGCTTGGGGGTGTTGTCGGAGGAAGAAGTTCTGAGGACCTAAATGAACATATTTTTTTTTATAGTTTTAGGATGTAAATATAATATTTATTTAATTCAAATACTAATTAAAACTTTAGCTACTTATATAAACATTTGTTGTGAAAAATAATAATGTAAATTTTTACGATTGATTCTTAAAATTTTGCCTTGTAACTTTTCTCCAAGATATGAAATGTGTAATCCAACATGGTATAAGAGTAAAGATTTTTCTTTAATCTTTTCTTTAATATTCTAGCAAGGTCTTTATTCTTTTAAGTATCTTCCTTTTTTGGGTTATGTTGTTCTATATATAAGTTTTTCTCTAAAAATGGTACTACTATAGTCGCGATTGGGCATAATGCCCTGATAACACATATATACTACTGAATTTGTGTCATGGTAGGTAATTCTTTAATATGTTGGCATTCTAAGAAGCAAAAGATTGCTTCTAGGTCTTCAGCTGAGGCAGAATACATGTCCATGACCAATCTATTTTGTGGCTTTGGTATGTATTGCATGATTTAAAGATCGAGCTTGCTGCATCTGCACTTATTTTTTTGCGAATGTAATATGTTTTAGGTTGTGAATGTAAAATTTATTTAATTCAAGTACTAACTAGGACTTTAGCTATATATAGCCATACGTGCTATTACTCAATTTCTTTGATTTGAATTTGATGAAGTGAATACACTTATCGAGCCTCCATTTATAGAGTGGTAGAATAGTATCGCCATGCAGTACGAATTGCATGGCTGGCCTACTATAACCACGCTGCCTTTATGAACAAATCGTGTAAATGGATAATGTGATTTTTTAACGATTGATCAATAGAAGTCTGCCCATCAGCTTTCCTTGGAGATCTAAAATATACAATGCAACATGGTATCAGAGTGTAGATTTTCTTTAATCTTTTAGCAAAGTATTTAGTCTTTCAAGCATCTCTTCCTATTTATTTTTGGGTTATGTTGTTCTACATTATTTTTCGATTTAATCGGTTACCTTCTCCTCTATTCCACAACATATCTCGTCATAAAATCTTCTTTAAATATAATCCTTCTTACAAAGATTTTAAAGGCTTTGGATATCTTGTATCTGCCTCTACTTTACAACATAACATACCTTAATTTTCTTTTCGAGTTGACCCTTGTGTCCTTCTTGGATATCATCACTCTAAAAAAGGCCATAAATTGTACAATATGATCTCTAATGATGTTTTTTATTCTCGTGATACTATCTTTCATGAACATGTGTTTCCTTTACATGTTCATTCACTACAAACAGATTAATAAGCATACTCATTCTTGTCCACAATTCTCTATTTGTACGCAAGTATACACTATTAGGGATGATTAATTAGCCTTCTAATCCACAATTCCTAATTTTTGGGCATGTATACTTTTAATCGTGTTTCAGGAGTCTTGAATTTGAAAGTGGACCCACAAAGTCAATACATTAGGATTGACTCGGCCTGACCCGTTACACAATAATATTGACAAAACCAAACACGTTATCCAAGCAAGCAAGAGACTTGATAACCCACATGCCCCTCCGCCAAATCCCAACCAACCCTTCTGGAAGGTCAGCAAGGTGGGTTGATTGTTTGATTTTCATATGGAGTCTCCAGAATTGTATTACCCTAGCTTAAGTTTGTTTCCTCTCTGCATTCTCCAATTGTCCCGATTTTGGGAGGTGATCTTGCACCTGCTAAATCCTTAAGAGATAGGTCAAATATCATGGACATACCGGCCTCCAGACTCTCACTATACTTTTGCTCTCGTTACTGTTTGTCAGGTTGCCTTCAATTCTTACGATTAACTTACCTTCTACAATAGTTATAGAATCTCTCTCTCTTTCATGTTGAATGCAAGTATTCTGGTTGTTACATTGTGCAGACAAACCTTCATACTAACTTGATTCTATTTTTCTGCTTTACTTTCACAAACTATAATCTTTTCTTTGGTTCTTGTCCATGGGAATCACAAAGTGTATCTCACCACCTGTTTGCTCAACTTAACCATGTTGTTTTTGTTGGATCCGAAAGGTATATTTTCTATAATCTTTAATATCAAATAAGAGTTTTAGTTCATGAGTTAATTGTGGATGCTTCATTAGATCTTGTTTTATATGACCCTAGTCAGAAGAGTTATGCTGGAGGACATGGACGTCTCAACACTACAACAATTGTTACATGTAGCCACAAAATCATAGCCATGCAAAAAAACTTTGAAGCTAATGCAAATTAACGGCCACAAAATTTGCGCCCAGTCGCTGTTTGTATCTTCTTAAGCTACAAAGAGTTTGTTTGTAGCTAATTGTATTGTTTTGCTTCGAATTTCATCTAACATGGCAATTGGTACTATCTTTTGCCACAAACTATATGCTACGCTGGAATGTCATAGCAAATTAATCTTTTTAGCTGCGATAACAAACATTTGTGACAATTCTTATTTCAAAATTTTATTTGCAACCATAAAAGATATATTTGTAAACCGTATGTAGCAATTAGCTATAAATTTGAATGCGTGAAGCTATTAATATTGAGAAATAGCTATGGAATATTAACTTTGAAGCAAATATTTACATTTAGCCATGATATATGCTTCGATGCTTGCTACAATTAGCTACATACATAAAAGTGATATAGCTAATAAATAAATATTTTATCTAGACTATACTATATATCATGGAAACTATACTTAATCTACATATTAGGATAAATTAGATTATTAACTATTTAATAACAATAGAATGTTTTAATTTGTTTCTTGAGAACTTAGGAAATAGACCTCCACAAAGTTAAAACAATGGAAAATTGGAACTACGGTTGATAAACTGTATTAGTTTAAGATTATTTTATCATGGAATATTCTCAAATTAATCAAAAAAAAATATTTTTCTAAATTTATCTTAAAAAAAATAAGAGTCAACATGTAACGAGCTAATGTGTTTTTTAGATGGATGTTGGCCCAAAATTCACACATAGATGGTGGTGGATGGATGTTGTCATTCCACATTACAATTAGTACAATCTCTTAGAGTTAATCATATATTTCTTATAGTGGAAACACCAATTCAAGACGTACGAATTAAGATAAGTGAAAGGATAGTCCTAAATAGAGACAATTTTGGAAGAAGTTTAGCTTAAACATAATTCCTTACACCGGGAACTATAGCAAGGTTGTTAACCAAGGGTCGACCTGGACTCGATGGAAAAAAAAACGAGCCCCACGCATCCATTTTGGACTTAGTTTGTTTACATGAAATCCAATTGAATCCGATAAAAATTTGAAAAAATTGGTTAGCAAACTTTCATTATGGAAGAACACTTTGTTAGCAAACGTTTGGAGTAAAAGCACAAATGATGGATTCCAATCTCTTCTAATCACGAGTTCTATCTATATTTATCATGTTGTTCCAATTCATTCAAGGTGCCAATCTCAAACTTATATGATTTAAGTGTGTTTAATTGTTACAATATGTTGGATCCAAGTATAAACTATTATTTTGGAGTATTGGCATATGTTATTACTCATATACTATATAAGATTTAATAGAATCTATATATGTATGAACAATAAAATGACTTCTTTTATATATACAGGATAAATCAAATCAAACCAAACCAAACCAAACTAAAGCGATCTGAGAATTAAACCTTCACTTACTTTCTCCACTAGACCAACGGGCTAAACCAGATTCACAATATTTGTAGTGTCTCAACTTGACTAGTCAATCAAAGACGGGGTTTAGATTGGCCTCATCCAAGTACATAAAAATAGCAACAAATTACTAATAAATGTTGAATAATCAATGCCTTTTTTCCATCAAATATAAGGAAGGATTTTTTCTGCATTTTTTAATCAACAAGGGTAAAAATGCATTCATTCCCGCATTGATCAAAATAATTATATAAAATAAAATAATCTTTGACATTTAAATGTTGTATTCCTTATTCAAAACCCTAGCCGCCTCGACTTTCTCCTCCTACTAGCTCTATAACTCTATCTCTTTGTTGTGCCGGGGAGAATGGGGATTTCCTATCTTATTCATACTTGTTCATTCTTGCATAGTGGATTCAACCCTAGCCTTAGAATTTTCCTCTGCCATCAATCCACCGCCGGGCATAAACCTCATGTCGTCTTTGCATTCATCGGCTGTGAAGGTGCAGCATTTTCCTCTTCTCCGATCTATGAACGTTGTGTCAGACTTTGCGTTTTCGCTATATGCTTTTTCCATTTCATCAATTTTCTAGTTTGTGCACCGGGTACTATATCTTTTGAGCATCTTCTTTCTTACCTCAGCATCATTTTTATTAGAAACGATGAATCAATAACGATTTTCTCTTGATATTTGGATTGAAAGTTTGATTATTATTCAGTACCGATTGGTCTGAGTTTTTTGTTTGCACAATTTTGCATACACGAGAAGTTTATTCTCAATAAAGATCTTAAAGTTCTTCTGCTGTTTTTATATAATTTTAGTATATTTTGTTTAATCTTAGCAACACTATTTCGTACTTCATGAACCATCAAGAAAGTTTCTAACACTGCGGAAATGCTTGATATTGTGTAGTAAAAAACCCCTCTCTTGGGAAAATCAATTGCATATCCTTGTTGTTTATATTTGATTTGATGCAGCTACCGTTCTATTGTTATTATATTGTTATTAGTATCTCTTTCCCGTCCTTGAAGATATTTTAGATGCTTGAATCATGAGTAGTTAGAATATTTTATGATGAAATTTGTAATTTTTTCTTTCGGTTGTAGGTGCAAAAGGAATTGATCTAGCCGAAACCAGTGTAGCAAAGATGATGCCAAGAATGCAGCGGAAGAAAGTTGATGAAAAGAATATGTGCATCTGTAGTTTTATACAATTATGTTTCTCTGTACCTCTTATAAATAGCTATAGGAGTCATTGTATTTTTTTTTTTTGGTATCCTATTGTACTACTGTATTCTTCCTATCTAAACAAATTAATCAATTTCATGAATGCTAAATTATGATCTCCTTATTGATGTGTCGACTGTAACTTTAGGATGTGTATAAAGAGTATCTAAATTAAATAAGTACATAAAATTATAAATTTTAGTACAGAAATTCAATGAAAAATATTTAATACTAATTTATAATATGGTTTACAGCAAAATAATACCAGGCATAGCTATAGATTCTTTGTCAACAAAATTGTATGTAGCCACAATTTGTTTTTCGCAGCAATAACTCTGATCTTTCAGTCACAAAATAACCCATGGCAACTTAATAAATTATTTTGTGGCAAAAAGTATAACTATTTGCTTCGAATGAAATTTGTGTGGCCCATAACTACATTAGGCCATGAGTTATATTTTGTGTAGCTAAATACTTAGATGGTTTTGCTACATCGGTTTCACTTTCATGGCTAGAAAATTTTGATATTTTTGCTTTAATATACTCTTTTATAGCAAAAGGTCTACATTATTAGCTACACATGTAAAAAAATGTGTAGCTAACCTTTAGCTGCGCCACTTTTAGCCACACGAGCTACAAAGTTATTTATTCATGGCTATATGGTTTAGCTACATTATGTTGAAGGTTTAGCCACGAATTGTGACATAGCAACATATGCTTTTTCTTGTAGTGCAAGGAAGCTACCAACATACACATGTTTGTTTCCAAGTTGAGGTATAGTCTTCGTTTTACCACAACATTTGTCGTGAATGGTTGCAAAAGTTGGCTCTTTTCTAGAATAGTTAAAATCCGGATTTAAATCTTAAAATCTTGTGACTTTAAGATATTACTTACTTGTTCCAATTCCGATTTCACTGTAAAATCTATGGACCAAAATCCTCAATGCTCACGATATAAATCATTAAAATTTATTCAATCTTAGGATTTACAACAATTTTAATGATTTTAACTAAGGTTCATGTTGAAATGATTGAACTTGGATAAAATCGACTTGAGATAAAAGAATAAGATATGATCTTTGGGTTAGATTTACTATTTCCATCAAAATCATCTTGTTCTCTGTCACTAGCCACCATTGACCATCATCAATTCACTTTAATTTATTAATCAGCACCGATTCATTACTTACCAACATTAACCTTGAGAAATTATTATTTTAAATGTTATGTGTTTTTGTGTTATTCATGATTTGACTTGTTAATATTTGGGTAAACACTAACTATTAGCAAAATCTTTCTCACATTCTTTATTATTAGGCAAACCTAATGAATTGCTAATAATTAGCCAAATCTTTTATAATGGATCAAAATATTAGCCATTTACATGATAAATAATAATTTTGTAACTCTTTTCTTAGTTAAAATACTAAGGAGTCATTTGATTTTGATGATAGTTAATTTGATGCATTGTTATCAATGCATAAATAATAATATACATGTATATAAAAAATTTGGTGTATTGTAGTTTACATCGTTTAGTTTTTGTGATAGCTATTGTAGTATTTGAATAAGTTATATTACTTTTTGAATGAAATGTTACTTTTACCCATTGATTTTAATATGAAAAAGCAACACACGTAATAAAGATAGTGACATATATAGTTGGAAGAAGAAAAAACCCCACAATCTCAACAATGTCACCGGAAACTTGAGATTTAACTATCACTCATTTTGAGTGATAATTTGTGTCACATCAAGTAAACAATGAATGTATTATTTTTGCAGAAAATTCAATAAAATGATGCATTGTGGGCAATACATGTATTGTAACTATCTCAACCAAACTATAACCAAAACCACACAACTCCTAAAGTTTTGGAATGTTGATATCCATGTGTCTTTTTCAAGTCAGTATCATGTTGCCAAGCTAGTATTACTAACAAAATTGCTAATTGGAAGTTAACATTTGACTAATTATTAGCAATTCAATAGATTTGGCTAATTAAAAAGAATGTGAGAAAGGTTTGACTAATAATTAGTGTTTACACTTAATATCATTTAGCATTTATTTTTACGGACTTAAAAATTTTAGGATTTTATGTTTCAGATTATACCTAGATTTTTTTTTATTTTACGTAAAATACTGATACTAATCGCATTGCGCTTCACCATGGTCACGTAAAATACCGACACTAATCGCATTGCGCTTCACCATAGTCACGTAAAATACCGACACTAATCGCATTGCGCTTCGCCATAGTCCAAGTACCATTTATTCAATAGACTATTTGCTGATCTTGCTTATCGCTTTCGGCCTTGTGAATTGTGATTATGATTCCTATTAGGGTATCCGATGGAAGATCACTGCATGTAGAATCTTCTTTTACAGTTGCTCTTGTTTATGTGAATGACATCATTGTTGCTAGCAATGATCTTATTGCTATTGAAAATCTTAAATCTAGAATAGATCAAACTTTTACCAGTCATGGATCTAGGAGAGTTAAACTACTTCCTTAATCTTGAGTTGTCTTGTCTAGGTACTTGAAGGGTATTTTTATTTTACTTTGTCAACGAAAGTTTGCTTGGGTTAACTCATATATTCTGGATTCCTTTGTGCAGAACCTGCAGATTCTCCTTCGATTCCTGGCTCTAATCTTTCAGCCAAAGATGGTACTGTCCTTTTTGAACCTTCCATTTATAAGAGATTAAAATTGGTCATTTATTGTATCTTTGTTACACGTGACCTAACATGACTTATGTTATCCATAAGCTAAGTCAGTTCACACTTCTCACACTATTCCACTAACATTCATATACATGATGCTGAAAAAGGTTGACCATATATTAAAGGTACAGCAGGCAATGTCTCTATTTCTCTAAAAATTATGATTTTCTACTACAATATTTTTGTGATAGCGATTGGAAAGAATGCCCTAATACATGCAAATCTACTGAATTTTGTGTCATGATAGATAATTCCTTAATATGTTGGCGTTCTAAGAAATAACAAAAAATTATTTCTAGTTCTTCTGCCGAGGCCGAATACACGTCCATGACCCGTCTATTTTGTGGCTTTATTATGTTCTGCATGATTTAAAGATAGAGTTAATAATCCCGTAATGAACACATGAAATAGATTTGACCACATTTTGTTTGGGACCAGAACCAACATTAGCCGATATCTTAGCAAACTATTATAAAAAATGAGCTTGCTCGTCGTGCACTTCTGCATGGAATCGTCATGATTGTGGCACCAGAACCAACATTATCGACTCTTATGGTTCCGCGAGAAGATTTGAAATCTGGTATTAGTTCCAAGTCCAACTCCATGGTCGACGGCTAGACATGTAAAGTGAGATTCAATTGCTATTTAGATTGTCAAACACACACAAAAAATAGACGGACATGAAGTGGAAAATGAGCAAACCAACAAACTTGCTCCACCAAATGACCAATTAGTCATCGCAAGCAATTCATCATCCGATAAACATATCATAACTTATGCTTTAATCAATGGTTAATATTGGGGGTCGTGGAGATTCACACACACACGACTATTTGGTTAAACGAGCTCTGATATCATGTCAACAATCAATTGATCCCAAATTCCCAATAACTCGAGTTGTTGGAAGAAGGTTATTATCAGTCTTATATCACTCTCTAACAAACTTCACCTGCATTTCAACCAATCGTGTCATAAACCAGTTGGTCCCAATAACTCGAGTTATTGGGACCAACTGGTTTATGACATGGGCTCTGATACCATGTCAAGAACCAGTTGATCCCAATAACTCGAGTTGTTGGGAGAAGGTTATGCTGGATCTTATACATGTCCATGTATGGTACTTAACCACTTCCTTACACGCCCCCTCAAACGAAAACCGACTAATAGGCTTGAAGTTTGCACAGGCCAGCCATACCATGTGCTTGAAAGACAACGGTTAATATTGAGGGTCGTGAGGACTTGCACACGTGACCTCACGGACAAACCAACTCTGAGCCCATGTCATAAACCAGTTGGTCCCAATAACTCGAGTTATTGGGACCAACTGGTTTATGACAAATCGAAGTATTGCTTCGGATGTGGCTGATCCTTTGTGGTTTAGGTTAGTCAAAAGATTCCGCTAAAACTGCTGATGCTAGTGGACATGGTCGTATGCTGTTTACAAAATCCTTTGGATGGTGTTCCATCGACTGCCAAAGCAGCTTTGACAGGAGCATACAAAAAGAAACTGGGATTAGTACGAAGAGAGCTCTTCTGACAGAGGATCAGGTAAATTATTATAGTCTTTTTTCATGTTTGGTGTGGCTATTACTACATTGAAGCAGATAACTTAAATGTATTTGTTGATCGAGTGTTTGGTTATAGATGGCTGCCAATTCTGAACTGACTTGAGTGTTTTTCATGGTCCATTTGCAAGAAAAGCATCATTGGTGGGGTGAAACTGTAGACTGGCCGTCAAAGCTTAAACTCCAAAGGTTAGTGAAGCAGTCAATCATGCTTTTCAGCATTTCTTCATCACTCATCTACATGCACTTCATTTTTCCCCATCTTGTTTTCTTCCTTTCCTTCATTTTTCACAATTTTCCTCCACATTCAGTGCACATGAACCCTTTTGTTTGCCACCCACAAATATATTAGTCCTCTAAAATATTACAACTCAATTCTATGCCCTACTTGGTCCCAACTCTCTTCATTTTCTGCTTTATCATGAACTTTCAAATTAGGTATGTAAAATCATACCAGAGATCGCGCCAGTAAGGTTCATAACAAAGTTGCGATAATCCTTATACGAGCATGATCATCGACACACAATTTAACACTTTGGATTCCTGACCTGTTTTTAAGGTCTAAATCAGACCACCAAAGAATCACTCATCTTTGGCAAGTTCAGCAGAGTGACCTCAAAGCAAGATCATGAACTTTGGGCAAAGGCTCTAGCCTTCTGCACCCGTTGATCTGGTTCTTTATA